ATCCTTACTGAACTTAAGAAACATTTCATGTTTCACAAGTCATTTCATACATACTTAAAGGATTGTTAACAAGCTGAGGTTTCTGTTCTCCTGTTAAATGGAGGGAGGGGATATTAAATTAATAGCTAAGGAATCTGTTATTTTGTAAATGTGACTGACTCCCAGAGTGTCTGCTATAAAACCTCATTGTTCTTACAAGCTCTGAAGCATAGCTTTTAAGTTCTCTCTTGCTATAACATTCTGTATTATTTTCTCTCTTAATTCTCTTGATGTTTTTCTTCCGATTCTACAAATTTTATCAGAATCTTTTAATTAGAAACCACAATGCTATAAATAGTAGTAAATATAAAATTCCTTACATCAAAGAGCAAGCATATAAATAGGATATTCTCATCAATTTTTTTTTAAAAGGCATTCTTCTATTTTGATAGAAATTATTGTTATCTATTCCAGCAAAACTTATTAAAAAGCATCTAAGTCCTTTATGCAAGATACTTCAGAAGTAAGAAACATGTATTATGAGGAACTGCACGTTATATCACAAAGTATTTTTAATTCTCTTTTTTCTTATTTTAATGGGGAAAAATATTAGCCATCATGTTACTATGCTGCTTTCAACACCCAACTAATTATACACAATGTGAGGAAAATTTCTAAAATGCTTCCTTCCAAAATTCTTGTTAGTTTGATTGTTAAGAAAGTGCATAGCTTGTAAGTGTTTCACTGGTGGTTAAAATATTTGACCTGTTTGAAATGAAAATCTTCCAAACGTATTTAGGGTTACCTACAGTACAGCGCAATGAAGCTCACCATTGATCTGCGATGATAGACATTGGTTGTAGTTAATGTACCTGTATTCCCTGTGGAGATGCTCATTCTTCAGGGCCAGGTTCTGGAGAAAGGTGATCCCAGCAGAGGTACTGAAGGGACTGTATCAGAAATCATCATTATTTTGTTGTGTTTCTTTGTAATAATAAAGAGTCGTACTTGCTACTGATTGCCCATCTCCTCTGTTACTGCAGTGATCCCTAAAGCATAGAGCAGGTGATTTAAAATAATTGGAATCGCATCCCTCTTCGTTTGGCAGGAAGGTTTGCATACCACTTTTGTTTTTCTAGGATTCAAGCTTTTAATATTTGTTTTAGATAAAATATCTTTGTGCTTAGTGATTTGAAATAATCCTTTCCACTCCATTTACTTTTGATTCCTTTCAGATGTTCACTGAGACGCTTAAACTTTGCAATCTTTGACAAAAGCTAGCTCTCCCGTAGTTGCACTGGATGCATGGGACGCTTAGTATTTTCTGTAGGGGGGCTTGCAGGGCAGTACACTTTATGTGCCTCTAGAAATTGCATCTGAAAGTACTGCAGCTGATTTCAGAGTTGTTATCGATATTTTCCTTCTTCAGCTGCATGACATTAAAATTTCAGATCTTTTTGATTGTTTTGGACGCACAGGCACTGCACTCTTCCATTAAGTTGTTGGATTCTCCTTTCCTGGCTCTTGTTCATGTTCTTCATTGAGTGCATTTCTCCTGGTCTCCAAAACCTCCCCTTTTATGACAGTTGTCAGCTGTCGATGTGTCATATCTATGGTTGTTGAAAAAGCCTCGAATTTTCTGAGAAAGTTCCTTGGTTTGACAACTGAATGACATAATTGATTGTCTTGCTTCAGTGGTTTAGAGGAGCCTTTGCAGGTGTCTTTCTTGTTACTTCTGCTTGAATGAGATGGTATAGATGGCACAAAAGTACTTATTTCCTTTCTTTGGGTTCTTTTATTGACATATGTCTATGAATCTAAGCTTCCCTTTCAGCTGGCTATTTTACCTGTTCACTGAGCAGGCATGTAGATGTGCTTAAAAATAATTAAAAGCAAGACCTTTTAAAATTCGTGTCTTTATTTTGTGGTTTTTAACCAGATATTCAGAAGAGTTGTATCCTAAAGAATGTAGTGGCTGGCACTCTTAAGGTGCAGGTTTTTGTTACGCTGAACGAGATCTGTTAGCTGTCATTGAAAAGGAGGATCTGTCTTCCTCTTCATTCTCTCTTGCATGTCCCATCCAGCTTCTTTCCATCACCTCTACTCATGGTGTGACTATATAGTTTATTTGGATCAGCTTATTTGTCTGACAGAAGACGGATCCACTCCAAGTAACGATTAATTTTCTGATGCTGATCTGACTTTCTGGGCAGTCACACGAGCCGACAGGGGAGAGCAGGCGGGAACATGTGAGCGGGATGGGGCAGAGCTGTCTGTTTTCGGCAGCAGCCCACAGTATGCAGTGTTGCAGCGTATTGCAACTGCGTATCAGGGTTGAAGGATTCTTTGAATCTGGAAGGGTTGTGATTTCTGGAAAGGGCTGAGTTTGTCTGGCTATCCAAAATGTGCGTCTTGGTATCTCAGCAGGTTTGAGATACACTTGAGATACGGTTGATTGCACTTGAGCTTAAACTTAATGGTGAGCTTCCTGAGTTTGTACTACTTGTCTTGGGGGTGGTTACATCTGTGTAATGTTTTTCATCTTAATTTATTAATAGGCATTTTCTCCCTTAAATCCACATTAACAGCTTCTGCCAGGGAATAACTGTGGTCCAGGGTCACCTCAGAAATACATTAGCCTTGTAATTGTTTATCTTCGAGACGTGTTCAAGGGAGGAAATTTCCCAGACCAAATCAATATGATGCAGTATATCTAGCAGTTAAAAACCAAACCAAACCAAACAAAAAAACCCCTAGTCATTTTTGCTCTTATAGTGAATGAGGTGAATACGTTTTAATGACAAATGCTACATTTAGTATATGTACATTTAGAAATTTAAGTTAGGCTTTTTATATTCTTCCTTACTGACGAATTCTCTTTTGGTACCAGCATATGGTCATATAGAAGACTTGGTTATACTGTGTATACAGATCTAAATGATGGCATATGTAGCTATGTTGTTAACAAACAGAAATAATAAAGTGCTGTAGAATGTTCTTTGCATTTAATAATGTAATGATGAAAGGTGAACAGCTGGGCTGCCGTTACTCCTTTGATCAGAAAGTGGTTGTTGTGGTGCAGGTAGGTAAATGAAGGTTAGTTAAGGTTAGCAAACATGCTGCAGTGGAACAAGGGAATGACAAAACTAGCGTTGGCCCCTAGTACCTTACTCGGTTCTTGGCCTGTCACATCCTGTTTATGAGCAGCAGCCTAAAAATTCACATCTAGCAAGAGAAGATGGAATTTAAAAATCATGCAAAGCAAACTCTGCTGCCTGAGAGTAGGAAAAGAAATGCCAATGCTAACGTGATAATTTGTTGATGGTTGGTTTTGCTGTATTTGTGGTTGTGCTAGCTGCTGCAGGCCAGAAACGGCTAAATGGCCGTCCCGCGTGTGGGTGGCTGTACGTGCTGTGGGTGTCCATCGTTGCCTTACAGGTACCAGCCGTCTGTGTCACGGGTCATTTGGGACTAGCTTGAATCCCGTACTTTCAAAAAGGGATCAAAATGGGTGATGTGAGGAAATTACTGAATTACTGCCTTTTTTTTCTTTAGGCTTTTTTGGCTAGAAAGTAGGCTTTTAATATTGATGGTAATTAATCACTGAAATTATTTACCCAGATAAGGTAATCTATGTGTTATATTCAGTTAGTTGGTCAAAGATTATCCCTTTGTTCAAAAGAGATGCTCTTAAATCATCCAGAAATTACGAGAACCACTTAGTGAAGACCTGTGGCCTGTGTTACAGGGCAGGTCAGATGTAAGGGGAATAGCTGAAAGGATACCTGACTCTGTGAATTGTATCTACTGAGAGGCCTTCTAAGAAGCTGTCCAGTTAATACTGCATCCTTCTAAACTGTAATGTAAATATCTGGAATTTTGCAATATCTGGAATCATGTAATTTTGCATGCACATTCACTGCAGTGGCACAGCTAAGACATTTTTATAGAGGGCACTCAGCCTGAGCATCCTCTGGTAAGAGAAGCTGTCTTGACTTCTGTTTTTTTTAAAGGAATCGACTCTTCGTAAATATGTATTCATGGTTGTTGTCTTTAGTTATTAATACTCATGCTTATATATGTAGACATAAAAGGAAAGTTCTGCTGTAGGGCAACTGAAAAACGTAATAAACAAAAAAGTCATGGTTCCCTCGACTTTCTGTTTCTTTGTTGCTGTTCTTTTCCAGGGAAACTGGTATTCTCAACTCTTCTGGATTTAATGCCTATTGAAAGCCTGCCAGTAGTTTTAGAGAGAGTGAATTTGATGATTCACATTATCCCATCCTGTCCTGTGTTTCCCAGAGTTTTCAATAAATCATTTGTTACAGTTGTACTATCTTGTATTGTGTTTATTTAGAGAAGTGTAGTTTAGAGTTGTAAGTGGTTCTTCAGTGTTTCCTCTTAGATTCCTCTGTCTACATGCTTCAAATCTTAATGTGCAGATTTCAATGGAAAGCAAATAAGAACAAAGTTGAAAGTGCTCCAAAATGTCCGAAAGTAGCTTTTCTTATTAATTAGTTAAGTAACAAGGCTGTTCCGTTTCTTGGGAATTTTCAGGTCTAGAAACAACTGTTGCGTTTCCATTGGATAGCTGAGTATTTTCTTCCATTACTACTAGAATAAATATTCTATTTCTGGCAGATCGTGAGTTACAAAGTATTCCCATGTTTGTTCTCTGTAGGACTGAATGAAAGCAATTAATTTGGGGAAAATGTATGGCAAAGAGAGAAAGAAAGAGAAAGGAAAAAAGAAAGAAAAAGAAAAAAAGAAAGAAAAAGAAAGAAGAAGGAGAAAGAAAAAAAGAAAAAGAAAGAAAGGTGTTTCTCTAGCACCCATTTTTCTTCGGTTTTAGTGCCTGCTCAGGGAGTTGGAGTTTTGGGAGCCTTTTGGAGGACAGGACACCTCACAGGGTGGTGAGTCAGCTTTACAGAAAATGCAGCTAATGATTTTAGCCCATTGCTATCACCTCACTCTATGGGCTTAAATGAGAGTCCGTCTGAATGAACAGTTTCTTTCAGGTAATGTCGGTGAGATTTGTGAGTGTGTCCTGGTCTGACCAAACCGATAACGTCTCAGCTGTTCTCCAACAGTCTGTGTCCAGAGTCAGGTTAAGCAATGAGTTACACATTAGCTGGGGGAAGTTTTCCACTTGTGTTTGCTCAGGTTTTGCCCAGGAGGGAAGTTCAAAGAAAAGAGCTGTTTCCTACCGTGTGGATGGGTTAAGATGGGGCCTTACTAAGACAGAGCATCCCAGTCACAGGTTGTGTTGCTGGGAATTCTTGAAGCCTCATAGATTCAGAAAACAGATCTCTTATTCATTATCATAGACTGCTTTGTCCATTTCAATGCATTTTTTTTGGTTAATGACATACTGTTAATTAGTAATATTTACTTGATGTGTTCACAAACCTGTACGATATGTTTTGTTGTAGCTGAATACTAATTCCAGTCTTTTCAATATTGCAGTCTACCCACATTGCTCGAGCCAGCTTCCAGGTTGATGCTTTTGGATCATCTTTCATCCTAGATGTGACGCTAAACCAGTAAGTAGTGACTGTATCTTACTCTACATTTGTTCAAGACTTGGTGCCAGTGAAGTATCATTTTTCAACGGAGGCTTTAGCAGCTGTATTATAGCACAAATGCTGTTTCTAGGTATTGAGTTCATCTGTAGTAGTGTATTTTAAGTTCTTTTGCTATTTTCTCAAGTACCGTTGTAGGCTTTGATATTCCCATTGTTACTACTTAGTAGCTATTGCAGTGTAACTAATGTTTTAGTGTTATAATTTCATTTGCCGTCTTTCAGTTTACCATAAAGGCAAATTACTATACTCAGGCAGAGCCTCCTTGGATATTAAAAGATGGAGTTGCTGAAAGCTGGTAGCTGTTAGCATTTTAATAACCAAGTGTAAAGTACTTGAGATACAGCAATTACACTACAACTAATCCTCAAAAAAGAATGAGATGGATAGTTGGGAATGAAGTTTCTCTGGATGCATTTACAGTCATTTGGGAACAGAGAAGCATTGTAAGGCAGTAGCACACTGTGAACTTCAGTCTATGAGGAAAGATTGAACAATAGTAAACTTAAAGTGAAATCTGGTATGCGTCTTTCAGTAATGAGTTTTTGAAGTAGCTTTTTAGCACAGCTGTTTTAAAATAGGAGTTGCTTTGCTTTTCTGCTCTGAAGTGAAAAGAGAATAAATAATATAGTAAATAGAAATGCTTTGTTAAGTAATTCAGCTCCTAATAATTGAACACAATGTTGCATGGTTCAGTGTAAGAGACAAACTGCTCAATTGCTACACGTTTTTCTGCTTATAAAGTTCAGGTTGCAATGGGAGCCACTGAAATCTCAGATTTTTTTCACTTGTAAACACATTTTAAACAATGGCAATTTCTTTATGTGCACTGACATGAGTTAAAAAACACATGTGAATCCTTGCTGGTTACAGATGGCAGAGACACTGTGCTGCTGGAAGGAGAGGG